TGATTAGTCAGCACAAATAACGTTAGTTTAAATACACCTCCTCCTTGTCCATCTGTAATCTGACAGATTATCACAGGTTTAGTAACCAAAGGTAACGTAAACAAATACCTGTTGTTAACTCTGGACGTGTTCGCTACATGCAGCAGCTGTTTGTGTTCCGGTGCAGAAACATCGAGGATGTGCAGAGCGTTGTCGTCTTTTCAGTTTAGTTTTAAATGTTCCCAYGATTTTTATCATTTGTCRTTWTCTGAGCGCTTCGTTTCGTCACTCTTCATCTTCTTCTRAAGCTAAATATAGCTTAGCTTAGCAAGCATACACGCGTTGACAATGTAACCATCGTAGCATTGTGTAACGCCAATAACATTCTGGCCGGACAAAAGTGTGCTGATTGTCACTGTGTGTATTTTTTACAAAGTTTCGAGGCAGATAWTTTGMCTCCAGGATTTTTTGTAATMRAATTACTCCAGGAATTRTTTCAGTCCTATGTTCCTGTGTYGTATTGATGAACTACAACTAAAATACATCACATAATTTCGATGTTTTGTTCCTGTTGTGTGTTTCCTCTGCAGAAGCTCAACAGCGCCTCCTGCTGGTGACAGTGTTTGCTCTGAGCGTTCGGTACCAGCCCGTAGACGTGTCCCTGGCCATCTCCAGCGGCCTCCTGAACGTGCTGTCTCAGCTGTGCGGCACAGAGACCATGCTGGGCCAGCCGCTGCAGCTGCTGCAGAAACCCGGGGTGTCCCAGCTCAGCACCGCCCTGAAGGTGGCCTCCACCCGCCTGCTGCAGATCCTGGCCATCAGCACCGGGTAACACACACACACACACACACCAGAAGCCTTGGATCATCTGAACCAGGCCGGGTTGAACCAACACGTCTCTTCTTACAGGACGTATGCAGACAAGCTGAGTCCCAAAGTGGTCCAGTCCCTGTTGGACCTGCTGTGCAGCCAGCTGAAGAACCTGCTGTCTCAGGCTGGAGTGAGCCACGTGTCTGCAGGGAAGGATCCAGAAGACACCAAACAAGACAGCACTGCTGACTCTGAAAAGAAAGACTTCAGAGGTGAAAACTGTAGATTTTTACTGTTTTTTCATGTTTAGTCACTTCTACTGTTTTAAAACCTTCAAACATTTATTATCCTCCGTATCTTCAAAGTCAGCAGAGAACTGTGTTTAAAATGTGCTTTATAAATAAACTTGATGATGATGATGAACTGTTGTCTAACTAAGTGATATAAAGTTTAAAGGTCCTGTGAYATGCTTATTCTTCAAATACAAAACATCAAAGAAAACATCTTTATATTTAAGAAAGTTGGAATAATTCACACGATTTAACCCATTTTGTCCCATAACTTATATTTTCTTTTGAACTTGGCTCAACTAAAGTGAAACAGGAAGTGACATCAAAGGGGAACTCTCTGATCTTTGTTTATTGAAACATTATTTGAACACCAGCTGTGTTTCCATTACAAATGTGCGCAAAACTTTGTCGATTTTCAGTTAATGTTGACAAAAAACAGTTTCACAACTGCATTAAGTAATAAATGTTCTTAAAGTCACGTGAATACGTTTGTTCTCATGATAAGTCATTACAAACATGGCAGCGATGGATGTAAACACATAGCATGTTGCTACCACGACACTAGCGCTCATCATCAGAGGAGACGTCGGCGTCTTTTATCGAGGCTTTCCAGAGACAAGTCCCTACTTGGGAGCGGCTACGTATGCTGTGTTTTTGGGAAATTGTAGTCGCTGAGTTTACTATTTTATACTACTTCTGTGATATTACTACTACTTCTACTTCCTGTTATCTTCTTCATCATCGTCTTTTTCACCAGTAGAAACAGACAGTTGTTGATCACATGACTCCTGTGATGTGAAAAAAAGTGTTTCCATTGCAGTTTTGTGAAAAACACTAATTTCTATACAGCTGAAAAACCACCTCATCCTAGAGCAAAAACATTTTGTCGAAAAACGTAATTTTTTTTCCGAAATTTACGTGTTTCCATTGAGCAAATTTATTTTCGAAATTCTATTTTGCGCATTTTCATGGTGAATRGAAACACAGCTGGTGACTCTTCATCTCTGATAGAGACTCAAAGTAATCTAAAACATCAGATTCTCCTCTACAGGCTGGGTTTTTAGCCATTTTAGCAACGCTCTGTTCACATGCAGATATTCCCCTTTGACATCACTTCCTGTTAGTTTACAGGCAAAAATCCCAACAACTGTTCATCTCAGTGAYATTTTGTCAGTGACATCTTTTCAAAAATGCATTCATATGTATTATAAAAATTCGACGTCACAGACACTTGAACYGTGTTGTCCTCAGTCAGGAGGAGTCTCCTGACAGCTCCAGGTGATGGGGAGCAGGATGATCCAGCAGCTCCAGATAATTGTTTTAAATATAAATAATTCCACAGAGATCTTTTATACCTCTGTCCAGGCCTGAAACACCAGCTAGCTGCTTGAATGTTTGGTTTTGTTTTTGCACAAAGAAGCTGGAGAGGCCTGTGTGAACATCCCACTGATGAGACCTGAACCCTGTTGGTCCGTGTGCTTTAAACTTTCTGTTTCTGACTGGAGAAATGTGGGTCTGCGTGATGGTTTAAAAACAACTGTACAGTTTGAGACTGAACTGTTTGAGCAGTAAAACATCAGGATTATTAAATATGATGAGTTTGGCTTTTTATTGCATTTGAAGAGAATAAATTAACTTCTTGTTAAGCTTTGTCTAAAAATAATTAAAGTATTTAATCACATGTTGGCAACTGTAGAAAACACAAAGTCCTCAGGCTTGTCCTGTTGCACTGTACGCAAGTCTGTTTCCCCAAACTTCATTTTTATTGTTCCAAGTTTTATCATGCAACATTTTTTCACCTTAAAGTATTTCAGTAGATGTTAGATGAATTAAATATTAAGTAGGAAAAAAGACAAAATGTGATGAAATTTGACAATAAAAACAGTAAAAGGTGATTTAGTTTAATGTTCTATGGCAGTAAAATGACTTTTATCATGGTTTATTTTTTGTTCTTGTTTCTCGGTTCATTTTGTACACCCCCTCATGAGTCTGTCATGTCTTTTCCTGTAACTTATAGTTTTCTGCACAGTATCTTGCTTTTATTTTCATTTTTATCCGATTTCATCCTGATAGTCCAGTACAGTAATGATCATTCTTGTTTTTATTTTGATCTATGTTTATTTTTTATTGTTACTCTCTTTATTATTATTGCTCCAGTTGATAATGTCACATATTAATRTACTGTTTCTGTGGATTGATGCATGTATCTGCTGCATCTGAATCACCCTGCTCGGGACAATAAAGTCTGTTTCTATTCTATCATTCTATTCTCAGCTTTGATSCGGAAGCAGCACACGGCAGAGCTCCACCTGGGAGACTTCCTGGTCTTCCTCAGGAGGGTGGTGTCCTCCAAGGCCATCCAGGCTAAGATGGCCTCCCCTAAATGGACCGAAGTTCTGCTGAACATCGCGGCTCAGAAGTGCTGCTCAGGTGAGAGCTGCTCAGGTGAGAGCTGCTCAGGTGAGAGCTGTTTGAAGGCTTCAGGACTGAAACTGTAAGATGCTGACTCTGGTGGTCCACACAGGGGTCCCTCTGGTGGGGAACATGAGAACCCGGCTCCTGGCCCTCCACGTCCTGGAGGCCGTGCTGCCGTCCTACGAGGCAGCGCTGGAGGACGAGCAGACGACGCAGGTGCTGCCCGGTTGCTCCGCCCTCTGCTCAGGTGTGCTTCAGGAACTAACTGTGTCGTCCTCAGGTGGTGCAGCGGCTCTTCTCCCTGCTGTCTGACGTCATGTGGGAGGCTCCGGTGGCTCAGGCCAAACACAGTGTCCAGATGAAAGAGAAGGTCCAGGAGCTGAAGCTGCAGGTGTGCAGGTGTTCACAGCAGTGTGGACACATCTCACCTGTCCACTGAACAGGTCCTGGTTTSTTTGGACAGGGGGACACGGAGGACGAGGACGAGAACCTGCCGGTCCAGGAGGTGTCCTTCGACCCGGAGAAGGCTCAGTGCTGCGTGGTGGAGAACGGACAGGGCCTGACGCACGGCAGCGGGGGCAAAGGTTACGGCCTGGCCTCCACGGGGATCTCCTCTGGATGCTACCAGTGGAAGGTACCTACCAGACCCTCCGGACCCCCCAGACCCCTGAAACCAGGAGCAGTGAACTAAACCCAGCTGGACTCTGTTCTCTCCTGCAGTTCTACATCGTGAAGGAGAACCGGGGCAACGAGGGCACCTGTGTGGGCGTGTCCCGATGGCCCGTACACGACTTTAACCACCGGACCACCTCAGACATGTGGCTGTACCGGGCCTACAGCGGGAACCTGTACCACAACGGGGAGCAGACCCTGACCCTGAGCAGCTTCACYCAGGGAGACCTGATCACCTGTGTCCTGGACATGGAGGCCAGGACCATGTCCTTCAGCAAGAACGGAGAGGTGAGGGACCAGGACTCTGACCTGGATCCAGATCCAGACAGGTTTATTCAGACCTCAGACCTCAGACCTCCTCAGACCTCAGACCTGGTCAGACCTCAGACCTGGTCAGACTCAGACTCAGACCTGGTCAGACCTGGTCAGACTCAGACCTCAGACCTGGTCAGACCTCAGACCTTGTCAGACTCAGACCTGGTCAGACCTCAGACCTGGTCAGACCTGGTCAGACTCAGACCTGGTCAGACTTGTGTATTTGATAAACCAGGTTGTGTAAGGTTCAGATCTGTTTACTGGTCCTGGTTCTGGTCTGACAGGAACCTAAGCTGGCCTTTGAAGACGTGGACGCAGCAGAACTTTATCCCTGTGTGATGTTCTACAGCAGCAACCCAGGAGAGAAGGTGAGGGTCCAGCTTCCATCAGAACCCACTGACCTGGTCCTGCAGGTCCTGGTCCTGATCTCTGTGTGTCTGCAGGTGAAGATCTGTGAGATGCAGATGAGAGGAACCCCCCGGGACCTCCTCCCAGGTGATCCGGTCTGCAGCCCCATGGCCACGGTGCTGGTGGAGGCCACCACGCAGCTGATCCGGATCCTGCACCGCACGGACCACTGGACCCATCACATCAACAAGACCATGATGGAGCGGCTGCACAAGATCAAGCCCTGCTTCAGGGAGGGGGCGGGCGGACCGGGCGGACCGGGCGGCGCCGGCGGGGAGAAGCTGAAGAAGAGCCGCTCGGTGCAGAGCCGCGAGGAGCACGACGCCCAGAGGGAGAGCCAGGAGGCGCCCCCCAGGACCGAGGAGGACCGGGGCCGCCACGGGCGCCAGCACTGGCTGGGGGAGCTGTCGGACCACCACCTCAGAACCCTGTGCACGGACGTGTGGCCGGTTCTGGCCGTGATCGGAGGGGCGGACGCCGGGCTGCGGGTGGGGGGCAGGTGTGTGCACAAACAGACCGGCAGGCACGCCACGCTGCTGGGCGTGGTCAAAGAGGGCAGCGCCTCCACCAAGGTCCAGTGGGACGAGGCTGAGATCACCATCAGGTACAGAACCAGAACCTTTGGGTCTTTTAGCTGGAAACATCTGGAGCTTCAGCAGAAAGTTTATTTAAGAAGCTGCAGCTGAAGAAGAGCCGACAGCTCAGGCTAGTTTCAGTTTCAACAGTTTTACTGGTTTAATTGATAAAAAAGCTGCAGCTAAAGACGAGCCGACAGCTCAGGCTAGTTTCAGTTTCAACAGTTTTACTGGTTTAATTGATAAAAAAGCTGCAGCTAAAGATGAGCCGACAGCTCAGGCTAGTTTCTGCACAGATCACAGTAAGAGCTCAGGTGAGGCTCACGTCAGATGTGTCAGATCAGAGTGTTTCCTTCATGTTTCCTCCTGCTCCTGGTCTGTTTCCCTGTTTGTTTCCTCTCTGACATCTGTGATCGTCTCTTTTTTATCATCGTTGATCCATCATGAGTGTTTGTCACTTCTGGGCTGGAGTCAGTTTCTGTTTTCAGCCACAGTTTAAAAACGTCACAGTGTATAAACCTCTCAGTCTTTCTGTCAGACCCTCCTGTGGTCTGAGGGAGAGACCACTGACTGTTTGATGAGCAGCCCCCTGAACTTATTAAAACAGATAAATTCAGTTGTTTAAACTTGTTCTGGTAGAGACAGAATAATCAGCTCACTATAACTCAGCAGTTAACTAGTTTGCATCGTATTTTAGCTCTTTTTCACTAGTCTTATCTCTTGGCATGTTCCCTGGTGGGAACAGGAGCCGTGGTCAGAGAGGAGTGATGATG